ATTTTAAACACTGAAGATAGAAAAGCAGAAATGTGAACTTTCAATTTTCACATGTTCAGACTTCTTCCATACACTCTCACTTTTCTGACCTCTCTGAAAGATAAAAGAGAATACTTGTTTCAATCCATTTTTTTCTGTCCTAAAGAGAACAAGAAACTTATGGGAAAGAACCTGTTGCTGCCTAATCTACAATAAACATTATGGTATTGAAATTCACCTCAGCAGTGGATAACAGGAAAAGCAAAGGAAGAAAGCTGAGTCTCACACCTGGTCATTTCTCTCTAGAACAGCAGCTATAACAATAATGATTTATTTTGGGACAAGTGTCATTTTGTGGGAGGTAAAAATAAAGTAAGAAATACAGAGAGTGAAAACAAAATTCAAGTCATTTAGCTTTATGACTAAAGCCTCAAAGATGTACAAGCGTAATGGTGAATTCAGGTCACCATTACAGTCACAACATTCAGACCATGTTTTCTTTCAAAACTTGTGGTATTCAAGAACATTGCCAAGTAAAATCATGGATTATTATTTATCATCTCAGTATCAAGAAAATGTGACAAAACAGGGAAAAAATGCTCATGCATTTCTTAGAAAATTTAAAATAGGTGACAACCTTGGTAGTGAAACCAAAAATAACACTTAGTAAGAAAGTGAACTAATTTAAGCCTCCAAGAAAAGGAAAAAGCCACCAGCCTTCTTTTCATGTAAAGAACTTTTCATGTAAAGAGCTACTCTGGGGCACAGTTTCTTACTTAGACAATTCCTGGCATTAGACTACAGCTGTGTACCTACTGTCATGCTGACAGAATGCCACTTGAAATATATTTGGCTAGCATATTTTGTGTGTGAACATAGAGAAATTAAGTATTTGAAAATATGTAGCACCTCATTTTTCCCATGAACTCCTTTAAATTTTCCCATGTGCATAAAAATGAAAATACTGGTATGCCCAATTTTTTATTCTGCATTTGTTTAGTGTAAAGCACTTCATGGGAAAAGTAGTTTAAAAGAATCTTTTTGCATAAAAATACTCTAATTAAAATATTTCAATCAATTGAACAGATTTGCAACTCCAAATTTACATTTACATAGTCTGCTATGGAATTCACTGCACTTTGAAAAATGGACAAGAAACAGATCTCAAAGGAGAGAGGATAAGAAAAAATTTGTCATCTTTCTTCTCCTGGTGTTCTCTTCCTTCTCCCTTTTCCACCACTATGCATTTCAATTGGGAATGTAACACTTTTCCCATCTTTATGTACCCAAAAACAAAACCTTCTGGTTTTCCTATATTACTTATTCTAGTTTACCTGAATTACCTTTTCATTACAGCATAATTAAAAATTTAGTATCTCTATTTCAAGATACGTGTCAGGTGTCCAACTGCAGGCACTCTGGCTTCTGGAACAGGAAGTCTGCCCATGTTAAATGCCTATCACAACAAAGGATGATTCAGAAACTATGCCATTAGTGTTCAGTCTCCCCTTTTCACTGACTCACAAGAAGTTTGAAATAGGTTCAGGTAAGCAAAGGTCATGAACTTTGAATGAACATGGTGGCCATGGCATATAATTTTTTTGTTTCTGTACAGCACAGAACTAACTCAATCTTGGCACAGGTGAGTACGTAGATTCACTGAGATTCACAGAGTATTTCAGCCTGGCCTGAACAGCACTTTCTGAGTGTGCTGAGCAAACATTTGTATTTCAACCTCCTTTGAAAGGAAAATTAATTCAAAACAAGATGAGGACAACCAAGCACCTTCAATGGTTCCAGAGCAAGAGTGTTCAACTTTCATACAAGGAGACTAGTTAAAAAACCCATATACTTCAAAGGTTCAAAGCCACATGTTCAACCCCTCAGGAAGTACCTTCAAAGAAATATTTTTCCTGTTTAACTTCTCTTAGTGCCAGAAACCAGTATGTGTCCCAATCCTGTGCCCTCCCCAAAGCCGTAACTTCACTTTATCAACTAAATATTAAAGCACTTCCCTCCAAAGCAAACTTGTATTCCAGACTCTGCTTCAATTGCCTTTTAACAAAGAGTCCACAAACACTCAAACAAAGGCTGAGTCCTGGGATGTTTGGGGGAGATAAATGCCCTCTGAATGATTACACTAAACCGTACTTCCCTTTTGCTCTTCCCACCTTTACATGAAGTTCTTTGCTAAACCAGGCAGAACATCCCAACAGAAATCACAGAAAACAAGTCACAGAAAATCCAGCCTGCATTATGGTGGTCAGGTTAACAGAGAGATTTTAATCCTCTGAGACTATGAAGGATACTTAAAACAGTAGCTGCTATATTCAAAGCAGGTATTGCGGTCAACTTTTTTTTTTACATGGATTTTATTCCATCCTCAGAGAGAAGTTGCATAAAGTCATAGATGACTACAATGTCACAGACACCAACACAATTCTGTTACCTTAAATATTAATCATAAACAGCTGCAAGAGCATGGAACTGACCTCCTTATTTTGACTTTTAACTTTCTCAAGTTGATAGTTTCCATGGCCATAACTATTTCTAAGCCTGGGTATATCTATAAGCAATGATTCTAGTAAAAAGGAGATACCCACAAATTACATAACAGGAAGTTCTGGTATGTCCCCTCCCATCCCCAAACATCTCCAATTATCTCAGACAGAGCATACAGCTTTCAAGAACATCAGCAGAAAGAAAATGGTTATCCTTATCAGAGCAGTCAAACTGCAGACTACTGTAAATTGCTGAAGTGAAACTGATGACTTTAATGCCACCTATTTGTGCAAGGAGATCAAAATGGAGGATAAGGTAATACTGACTTAAACCACTGCTAAAAAGAACTGTAGATATACTCTTTCAAAACACGTGATATAAACCTACAGTATACTTAACTAACTGAATTAAAAAAGGTCAAAGCCAAGCAAAAAAGTTTCTCAAGCTAAAAAACAATTCCACTCTACTACCCTACAGTATTTTGCACTGATTTAACTTGCAGCCCATTTAAATCAGGTCTCCAATGCTTCATGCTAGCAGGTGCACCCAGAGCTGCCCAACCTCAGGCAGACTTAGACCTGACTCAGATCCCCGACTAATGCACTACAGAAGCATTAGTGGGGCACTGCATCTTTTATAAACTTGGACACTCAGAGCAGGTACTCATGTGTTCAGTTTCAGTATCACTTTAAGGCTGCAACATTGCTTCCTAGTCAGGAGCAAGATACACAGGCATGTCACAAATTCATTTTTCAACCAACTTAAAATAAGCCAGCTCTGTTTCTTTGACAATGTAAGGCCTTATGTATTTATCTGTGCACAGTTTTATACCTCTCCAGTTTTATCTTTTTTTATCTTTATTTTCCCTATTAAATGACCAATGGCACAGTTCAAAAGAGATGCAAAGAATGGTCATCTTTAGAGACAGAGCTATTTGAGAAAAAAAGAAAAAAAAATCAAGCTGGGAAAGACAGAGAATGAAGGGACACTACATATTCTGTCAGTGCCTTGAAAGACAACTATCTGCTCCTTTTACCTTGTATTTCTTTCTCTGTTTCTTCGTAACAGGCAGTGTCTCCCTTTTTTTAAGTCTCTCTTTAAATCCTGTGGAATCACAATTTTCCCTTTCCTTAGCCTCTAAAGAGCATCTTAAAGAACACTCTAATAAAGGTATACTGCTTAAGATTGACACCAGGATTACTGCCACATTTCTTCATTGGCCGCAGGAATATTTCCATGACTACCCTGTCCTCTTTTAAAATTACTACTTTTCTGCAATCTGTGCTTTACTTGAAGTCTTAATCCTCAGTGATGACTACTGCATCCACATGGTCATGATGTAATGAAGAAAAGCAACCACTTCTGGAGGGAAAAAAAACATTACAAACCTTTCAAGAAGTCTCTTAATAATCTCAAATAAATTATCAGTAAAATGTCTGCCCACATTTCAAATTGGAACACTATCTCAAAACACAACGCACTTCAAGAGAAGATAAGGCATTCTTCATTAACAACACCACTCCTGTGCCTTTCCAATTCCATGTTTAAAGCCATTAACTTCACTAAGAAAGGGTTTATATCACACCTTTTTGGCTGAAGAGAGCTTAAGGGAAATTAAGATTTACATCACATTACTTACTGGAATAAATATATCCAAAATAATTTCACAGCCCTATAATGAAAAAGTGAATAAAACTTCCATGTAGTTGAACATACAAGCTTTCAAACCAGATGCAAAAACATATGCAACTGTCAGTATGTTCAAATACAATACAGAGATACAGCACACATGAACACCACGAACTTCACTGATGTTTGAAATGCCTATTTATAAGGCACATTTACCCTACAATGCCACCGATTACAGGCAGCTTTAGTAAGCGTGGTACTTGTGAGATGAGACCTTACCTTCTACCAAAATTCTACACACGTAAAGCATCTTTGCATCAATATTCAGGGCAACAGCGTGTCGGGGGTTTGACATACACTCACCTGCATTCGGTTAACCTGTTTGATCTCTTCCCTGGCCCGACAGCTAATTTAAATGATGAATTTTTTATCATGATGCAGGTAAATGAAGTTAAACCAGATAAACCAGGTTTTATACTAAAAGGTCTTTCAGCTTCAGCAGTGGCAGTACTCCTCCCAGAGACAAGCCAAACCCAGGTCCGGGTGCAGGCTCGCTCCGCTGCAGATCCCGCAGCCGGGGCCGTACAATGCCCACAGCCTCTCCCAGCCCGGCTCCCGAACCGCGCGGAGGCTGCGGCGCGTCCCCGCCAGCCGCCCACAGGCACCTACAGCCACCGCAGGCAGCCCAGCTGCCCTCACACCGGCCAGCGGTGGCGCGGCGGGAGAAAAGGCAGCGGAGCGGGGAGGGGAAGGCGGAGAGAAAAAAAAAATACAAAAAAAGAGGGCGCTGGGGAAGGGGGCAGCCAGCTGTTCGGGCACCTCCTCTCGCCGGGCACGGTCGCAGACAGGCACCTCGGCAGCTCCTTTGTTCCCCTCCTTCCCGCACTCACCCACGGTGGCCAGGGTCTCCAGGTCCTCCAGCTTGTAGGCAGCGGGCTCGAGCGCGCCGGGCGAGCCGGGACCGGCGGGGCTGGGGGCCGGCACGGCGGGCTGAGGCGCGGCCACTCCCGCCGCCGCCGCCTCGCCGCCGCTCTTCGCCCCCATCTTGGCCTTGGCAGCGCTGAAGGCGTCCATAGGGCCGAGCGGGCGCCCCGCGGCCGCTCAGCGCATGGAGAAGGGCGAGAGGAAGAGGGAGGAGAGGGAGCGGCGGAGACGCAAAGTTTCAGTCTTCAGCAGGCGGGGTTGCTGCTCCCCAGGGCTGGAGCCCGCTGCCGCGTCTGAGGGGGCGCGCAGCCCTTCAGCATCGCGGCCACAAGCGCCGCGCCGCCCGCCGGTGCCCGCAGTAGGCAAGGACCGCCGCGCAGACAATGGCGAGGGTGCGCCCAGCCGCGCCACACGCGGGGCGGAGGGCGGGGTTTGCCGCTGCCGCTGCGGCACCGTCCCGCTGAGGGCTGGCGGGGCGGGGAGGGGCCGGGGGAAGCGCGGCCCCGCCGCACAGCGGGAGGGCGGCCCTCGCCCCTCGCCGCGGGCACGGCCCGGAACCGTGTGACAGCCCCGGTGCTCTCTGCTTTCCTTCCCCACCCTGCGTCCCGCCCGAGGGGCTGCGCCGCTGGGCGGCGGGGAACGGGGTGCAGGGAAGTGCGGGCGGCTGCCGCGCCTGCCCTGCGCTCCCTCAGTGTTGTAGGGACACCTGGGATGGTCCCGTCCGCTCCCCGCAGAAAGTTAAAAATGAGCGGTGGGGCCCCCTCGGCTGCACAGTAACAGCCCTGGGAGGAGCTGGTCTTTCCCCACGCGTGGGAGCGCGCTCGAGTAGCTCCCCCCGCACGTCCCAAAGGGATTGTCACGCCTTATTTTACTCCCCGTTTCCGAGCAGGTGTGGATTCCGCACCGGTCACAGCGCGTCCTGCTCCAGCCTGCAGTGTTCTTGTGGCTGGGGATGGCTGGGGGTAGTGCTGGGCTGCGCTCGGCTGAGGCGAGCAGACACCCGCCTCATGAGCAGCAGCAGCAGCAGCAGAGTACCGAATATAGCTCCTTCAGAGCAGCCAAGAAGCTGTTGACGATTATGCTGAAAGACAAGGCAAATTGGTGTGTGAATCAAGTCACTGTAAAGCGTGCACATCAAAACTGGGAAGGAAGTCCTAATATTTTCCATTCCTTTTTCTGGCCCAGTTTTACTCTATTCACAGCTACTACACTGTGCTCCTGTGAGCAGGGTGTCTGCAAAGCTGAGTGTCAATGAAGTCACACGGGTGGCATTTGGCATCTCCTTTTTATTAAAAGTGACATGATGAGAATTTAAGGCTTCTTAGTTTCTGTGTGGAGTAGGTTCAATAATATTGAGAAATGTGTGTATACAAAAAAATTAGTACAAATATATTAATTATTAATAAGAATTACAAATATATTTACATTTATCCTGAATTTTAAGGTATCCTTAGAGTCCAGTTTATAGTCATAATATCAGAGAATGTAAAATGCATTTTTATCTCGTAGCTTGTTGACTTGAAGGGCTATGACTAACTCAAAAAAATCATTAGGTCATCTCTGCTTCCTGTCAGCCTTTGAAAAGTCACCAGTCAAGGAGGATGACATCACTTTTCCTCCAAAATTTCAGATTTCATCTGTTAACTCTTTGGAATGCAAGTTTTGCCCTTCTATATTGCTTTACTACTTTACTGCTTTACTTCCCTTTCTGCTTCTTTACTGCAAGGTTGACTGCGCACTAGAACAGGTCACCCAGAGAGATTGTGGAATCTCCCTCACTGGAGATATTCAGAAACCATCTGGATGCAATGCTGTGCCATGTGCTCTGGGATGACCCTGCTTGAGCAGGGAGGTTGAACCAGGTGACCCACTGTGGTCCTTTCCTGCCTTACCCAGTCTGTGACTATGTTCTGTACATTCTATACCAGATTTACCAGGGTTTAGGCCTTGAACGGTGTATTTTGAAAATTCTTTAAACTGCAAATTGTAAATGTTCTGGCAAGCTGTAAATTTAATTTCTGTTTGGTCAAAAGGTAAGCAAGCCAACAAAGCTCTTTTAACAATGACTGATTTTTTTTAAGATAGCAATTTGAAAAATACACATCAAAACATTTAAAAAAATCTTCGTGTGTCTAAAAATCTAACTTTGTTTTTCTAGCCAAATAATTGCAAATTGAGAAAAAAGATATAAGCTGTATTGTGCTATTTTCAAGATAGAGTTCTTTAACTTCAGTCTAGCCACGAAAATTGATATTTGATCTTCCTGAAACCATTCCTTTTCGATTAAAACTAAGAAATCATTCACTTCTCAGATGATAAAAAGGGCATAAAGTATTTTACTTAAGGTATTGATTATCTTCAACTGATATTTACAAATTTTACCCAAAAAAGTTTAAATTACTTGCATTCAGGACCATAAAACTTTCTTTTAAAGAGCCTCCTACTGCCATGCTTCAGCAGTTGGTGGCCGGTATGACAGCACCCATTCAAAAGAGCTGTGATTCAGCAAGGCTCCTAAGCACAGGATTAGTTCCATTTGATGCAGTGTCTGTTCTTAAGATTTAAGTTTGCTTCCTTCCTTTGCGTGCAAGGCATTTCCTAGCTGTAGTTGTGACAACATAATTGCAATGTTTATATTTAGAATGTCAACATATTATTAGCGTGCTTTGCCACCTCTCTGTAACCATCTCAGAATTTATCTTGCAGATACTGATTATTATCCACAATACTTCAGGGAAAGAAAAGGTCCTTCTTTCTATGTGCAATGAGGTTGAGAATCAAAGCTCCTAACTTCATAAATTGCAAGTAGAAGTAGAGCTGACCACTAGATTGCAATAATGGATATGAAACATAGTTTCTTGCCCAATTTAGGCCTAATTCATAGGCAAGCCAGCAGCCCTATATTCCTCTTTTCTTTCTTCTTTGCCTCTAACTTAAAATGTCACCTTTTGGTCTCAGGTACTTTTTGAGTAATCTAGGCTTTTCCCTTGCTCTCGATAATTCATAGTTCTCAGTTTTTCACTTTCCCCACACAGGCATTAGGTGCCTAATGCCAGGTTTCTTTATCTTAAAACAATTTACCCCCTTTATATTTCTAGTCCTTCACTTTACAGGTGCTTACACCAAGGGTTAGTTCTATTTTCATTGTCTCTTAAAAGTACCAGATGTTAGAGATTAATCTTTTCAAAGACAGTTAAGATCTTTTTAAAAGAGATTTTATTTAGAAAAGCCTCCCAAAAACAGAGAACAGTAGTATAAATGATTTTGTCAATTCATTATTTTAGTGAGGGCTTAGTCTTCTATTTCAGTTGCAAAAAAATTTCTGTGTACTTATATTCCTTTATAAACTCAGAATTTTCAGGGACCAGAAGAGTTCCAGGTGTCAATTTGGTTGTTCCCTGTGGCCCTTCATATATGTGCATTTTCCAAACTTCAGCACATAAAAGCACACTGGTAGTTAAATGTTTATTTGGGTCCTAAATCACTAACTTTCCTCCCATTCCTTCCTTTTGGGTTGTAGGGGTTTTTTTTATTTTCCCCCAGGAAACCTTTAGTTAACAACATAAACCAATGGAAAGGATAACAAAACTCTACCTATCCATGAGTTGATATAGCAGATCCTTTTTCATTCATTTTGGGGGAACCTTGTGGTACACATTCCGTGCAAATGGAATATGATTTAAGCACCTAACTCTCTGGGAAAGGAATCAGTCATTTAAATGTCTCCATAGCTGCAGACAAAAGTGTCTTTCCTGTAGTCTGAGGAGGTTTGCGTTTGTCTTCCTGAAAGCCTGCTTCTTTCTTCTCTGCAAATATATAATTTTCCTTACAAATCTTGTTAAAGCATATATTTACCATCACCATCACAGTAAAACTACTACAACAAGTTTGCAGGAGAACCTGTTCAAACCTGTAGGGAGGAAATGGAGAAGTCCTTCAGTGGTGGTTATTACTAATAAATAGCTCCATATCATCTCCTTTAGTCACATTACATACGGTGCCTAAAAACGTGGGACTGCTCTGAGGAGGAAGAATAACTAGTAAAGATAATTAGTACTGGTATGTGTTTTTCATTTGTTTTGTTTTGCTAAAGAAGTTCATGATCAGGCAAGTCCTATGATGTAAACCAGCACCCTTTCGTACAAAAAACCCGGCCTGGACAAAGGAAGGGGGAAATTATTCCACCCATCTGATGCAGTTCCTTCATAGTATGGAAATAAGCCTATCTGTATAACGAGCAATCACACAGCATGTAAATGTACCTACACCTTCATAAAGCAACTATTGCACTTTTATTTGAATATGATTATGTTTAACATTTTTTTAAAAGCATTTAAATTATGATGAGCGTAGTGGCAGTATCCAAATGAGAATTTAAACACAAAGAATTTAACGTTGTTGCCTACATCCAAAACCGTGTTTCTGATGAATCTTGCTGAGTTGATTCCTTGCTTCGGAAATACATTGGTGTAGCCAGTTCAAACATGGAAATGCTGTTACTAGGGTGTCTAGACTTTCTGCCCAGTCTGAGCAAGTTTGTGTCTAGCTTCTGCCAAAACTAGATTGAGATCTGGAAACAAGATGTTGCTTTGCCTACATTTGCTGAGGAACTTGTTCTGTTAAACATTCTGAAGGTATATCTCACATACATGCAAAACTGCTACCCTCACAAAAGTAAGTTGTGGCAAATTTTTATACAAAAAAAAAAGTTATAGGAACACTGTCTTAGCTGATAGAAGATCCTGAAGTGCCAGCATGCTGGACAAGTTCTTTGAAGTCAGGTGGTGGTATTTGCTTCAGTTCAAAGATAGAATAAAGTACCAATGCACTAGGACATCTTTTTGTTCATTCTTTTCCCCAGACAAGTGTCCATTGACATGGGCATATCTCATTTTGAATATTCAGGATAGTATGCTGCTTATAGCAGTCATCCAGGAAATGGGAAATCCAGAATTTTTGCTCTTAATTGTATGAGAAGAGCTCTCATTCTGGCCTCCCTTCTTTAAGCTACTGAATGCAATTGTAGGACCTATTCTCCCTTACTGTGCATTACTACTTCACAAATACTCCATATTTACTGTGTCAATGAAAGAATGTGTTTGCTACATTGCTGTGTGGAATTCTGCAAAAGTTGAATATATCAAATATAA